AATGTTTTTGCCTTTTCTTACTTACGAAAGAAAGTGGTTTCAGCTGGGACGATAGCGTTGCATCGCGAAGCCGCGCGACGTCTGAACCCCAGCCGTGTATGATCGCGGCAAATTTTGTACAGTGTTGCCGGCAAAACGCGCCCCCACGTTTGTCGTATCCGTGCAAGTAACTTAGACATTTATGCTAGCTGTTTTTGCATTTGCGGACTTTACATGGCTATTAAACACTCTCAAAGATTTGGACTTTATGCTTAGCCTAGTTGCAGAGTAAAAATGGGTATCGAGAATGAAAATTCACCCGCGCGTAACGCGTAATCTTGGCATGCTTCGAAGCTCAATTTAAAAAGTTTAAGTCGCACATTTGCATAGAACATTCCTCTAAAATTTCAGCTTCTTAGTTTATCCCATTCCCAAACATCACTTCACCACAAATATTTTCGACGTACCCTAATGCATGACGCAGGTGTAATCCAGAGCTTAGTTTGGGTGTATCAGTTCCTTCATGGACTAGAAATATTCTCGCAAAATTTTAGCTATCCTTATTAGGCTAATCCCATAATTAGACCCGAAGCCAACGACGAACTTTGATGTGTCCGTTTACTGACGAAGGGGTCAGTTGACTGGTTCTCGAAATCGTATCTCTTCAAACAATTTAGATATTTTCTTTCCGGTGTCGACGCGTGAAATCCAGACGGACGTGAACCAAATTTTCAAGTTATAAGGGTGAGGATGCCATGTGGGTGATAACATGTCTGCAAAATTTCAATCTCCTGACTTCTCCGGTTTTAGAGTTGAAAGTGGGTGATAAAGTTCACCTGCTCACACACACACACACACACACATTTACAAAAGCACCGGCACTTGACAATATGCGCATTTGTTCACTGTAGCAGTGTTATAGCGCAGCACAGTAAAAACGCATAAAAATGAACTAACAAAATTTTAAAGTGTCTCTTCATTTCATTGTTGTTTTGATCAGTGCTGCACAGAATTGCGGTCATCCTTCTGGCATTCTTGATGTTTCTTTGTCTGCTGGAGGAACAACTGGTTCAACCGCCCGCTCGACCGAAGAAGTACTTTGGCAAGGCCTTAGCCAGTTGAAGATTCAGTGGTATTATGTTGAACGGTACCACCTCATCTTAACGTTGCTACTATTAGGCCATAGTGAAGTAACTCGCCGTTAGGGTACTCCATAACTTCATGTATTTGTCGCCAGAGTTGGGATACATCTACATACAACGATCCTAGCTATTCGGTCCCATTACACTTATGCTGTATGTTTCCGCTTTATACCATAAGTATGCATGACAGTTTATTCAAAACTGCAATGAAAACCGTCTCACTCATTTTCGGAACTCTCATTATGCTAAATTAAACCTGTAAAAATTGCTGCAAAGCTGGAATTGCGATGAACAATTACAATAAACACAACTTAAAAAGTGATCGGAAGGAACAGTTTATAACTAAATTAGAAATGCGCAAATTAATAAATCCAATGAGACGTAGTTTTCTCTAACCAAATTCCATACTTTTTGAAAAAGAGACAAAAATTTTGAATGCGACTGCGAAGAGTTTTTGTTGCTCACACCAGTTCTTGCGCTTTGGCCGTCATTTAAAAAAAACTTGAATGAATGCATCATAATATAGCATTGCGCACAACATGTTCTAACTGTGATCTGCTTTCATTGGTTAAAGCAATATTTCTGGAATAATTTGGGTTTCAAAAAGTTTTCATTACGAATAGGTATGATAAATGGCAAGCCTTAGGCAATAAAATTGGCGCCTTCGGCCTGTCCCTCACATCTTTACAAAAGAAAACTTGCGGTAGCCAAGCTGAACTGTGCTGCTGCGGCAAGAACAAATATCTTTTATGCTGAAGTTGACTGATTTTCACACCCACAAAAGTTTAAATTCAACATTAATCTCACCTGAGCTCCTTTGGTGAAGGCGATGGGAAATTGGAGAAGAGGGGAAGCAAAGCGAAATGAAGGAGAGGAAAATATCTCACCTCTTTCTTTCATTAAGCACAAAGTAATTCGCTATTTTCCCAAAAAATTAGTAGTAAAACTTTGAATACTGCTTGAACAATACAACCCCACGATCACAATATCTAAGAAGATGAAATTTTGGGAACATAATACTCTACAGTGAATGGGCCACAAACCTGAAATCGAGTTTTATTGCTGCATCTTGATTTACAAGGTTAAGTTCGAGGCTAATTTTTTAACCAACTAATACAACCAATTTTAATATATTTTATTAAACTCGACTTCTGCGAACCGCATCATTGAATGAGCACATCATGGAACCGCATTGGTTCCATGGTGTGCTCATTCAATGATTCTCAGGTAAAAAACTCACCCAGCATTTCTAATTACTGGCAAAATGTATTTTATTCACTTTTATAATTATTCACTGTTTCCTCTGAGTGATGTCGTCACAGTACACGCAAGCTGCTTTGAAAGGTTCGAAAATGACAAACGAAAAAGATCTGGACTTGTACTGCACCGCAAAAGTAGTAGTTTCGTGCACAGACGAAAAATCATACAAGGCGGAGTTCCTGTGCGATGAAATTTGGACGAGCAAGACTATAAGAACGAAAGAAAATTTCGAATACTGCAAACTAAATTAAAATTTGTGAATGGCTTCCCATTTTTCATTCCTAAGGGGGATGTGTGATCAATTCCCTTCTTGATGTCCGCCTTCGAAGCAGCACGGCAAAAGCAGCACCAGATGAATGAAGTGAAAAGTGCACGGATACCAGCTACATCACCGCAAAAATTTTGTTTAAAAATGATAGTGATGATATGCTTCACAGACAGCAGCCAAACACTACGACGATACTAATTATTATATATTCACGTGAAGGGCTAAATGTGGTAATACATAGCGCCTACTCGTAAACTCAAACCACACAGATTCATTCCCACCACAGAGCAGATATGCTGCTTTCTTCATTTCTGAGCTGTATGTTTCTAGCTAGTACCCGCTGCACGCGCTTTATATGTACAACCACTTTTTAACAAGTCATTAGAATGTTTCTATTGCATTTCGCGGATAGCACTCCAATAAAACTCACTGATATGCAACGCAAAACAGTGGCCAGCGAGGCGAGAAACATGCCCCGCTCATTACAATTTATCTTTTCGTTTGGTAGCAGCGATGCCCCGCGCTACTTATCTAACGCAGCTCACAAGCTGGTGATCACTCTACATGCAAGAGCCGATACTTCTAAATTAAAAAAGGCTTTATCAATTCTAACAAGTTGAAATTTTGCCTAGTTGGTTTTCCCAAATAAATAAACACTAATGAGATGTGCAGCAAAAGTAGAAACATATTGTGCCAGAAAGACAATGTTACTGCACTGGGTTTCGGCTGACTTGTATGAATAGCCAGCGACACAAAAAGTCAAGACTAGCTTGAGAGATGAAAAATCTTATGTGCTACAAGCCTGAAGTAAAAAGGCGAACTGCCCAGTCACATTTTTAATTTCCAAAAGCTAAAGCTGACAGCTGAAATAATACCAAAGTACAACGAACCAAAAAGTTGAAATCGAAGAAATTAAGCAATCATCAGTCTGTCGTGGGCCTGGAGATAGGACCGATAGCGGGCATGCAAAACAATAAGATTAATCCAGCTACACAAAGACGCATCCAAAATCCAGGAAAAAGGACAATAACCAAAATCCATGAGTAATGAAAAGCAGGCCATTAACAAAACGCTGCCAAATTCGTTTTTTTTTTTACTAATTGTATACCAGGAAGCCAAAATGTCTGAACAGTAATTGTGGACAGTGTGATGTTAATGATGTTCCCTGAGACGTTCTCACTCGCCTGCTGGCAAGAAGTTGATCGCTTATATGGTCGTGAAGAGACACGTCAAGTCCTCTTCACTTCATCGCTTTCTCTGACTCAGTAGCGCTCGTAGTCAACTTTCTTCAGTGGCCACACTTATAAATCACTACTGTAATTCTTTTAACACAGTGGCGTTTGAAGTGAGCATAGTCAGTTCCTGGTCCATGATTCTAAGAAAGTCATTGGTAATATGGTATTTGCATCAACCGGCTTCGCTCAACGAGCGGTTTTCGGCTGAGGATTGTGACGTGTATTACAAGTTCAAGAAAAATCTGGTTATCAGCTTCGCCTATGCCAGCAAAAACTATCTGCGTTTTGAAAGCTGACATATTTTTACAATTTGACGCTACAGTAATTTCATCGTCACGTTCTTTCTTGCTATCAACGCAGCTGGCAACATATTCATTTTGACTCGCCCTTGCATAATTCTGTATAGGCGTTGAAGTGATCTTCCGACTGCGCTGATTCTTTCACAGCGAAATAATATTGTGGGGCTTCATATCAAACGCGTAAAAGAGTTTTACTAGTTCCTTGACGTTTTTTAATATATTGAAAAATTAAAGTGAATTGCGTCACTTTAGCCGTGCTTGCTTTTCTAGACCGGGATGATGAGCTCATTGACAGAATACTTTCTTCAGGCGATGATGCTTTATTAACGTCAAATGTACAGCAGCGTATTCCCTTTTTTCCCTTACGACACATGAGGAATGTTTGCATAACGTTGCTGACTTCGAACGACTTCTGTCTTTCATTTGCTGTTTGAAGGAATCAAGCACGTACTGTAACTGCGTCATAGTTCAAACGTATTTAATGACCAAATAAATTCGCGCGCTTCTGTGTGGAAAACGTTCGACAACAAAAACTTTCTAAGTCCCTGCATTTGCAAATACCGATCAGCATTTTCTCATGATTTACTGTCTAAAGCTGTTACCATGAACAGTCGGAAGAGTAACGCAACAGCGAGGCACGGTCTCTACCATAGTCGGACAGAGTGCTCTTCGCCTGAAGTCAGTAGACGTTAATGCAGTTTTTATGAAATTTATATTGATAATATATGCAAGTGTGCATTTTGGACAGCCAAGCCTAATTCCTCATTTTGCTTGCGAATAATCCTCAACGAAACAGTCATCGATGCCGTTGCTAAAGATGATTGCTACTGGTAAAGGTGTTGCAGATCTGGTCACAAATATCCCAAATGTCTCTCTTGAAAAGCACAACGAACGAAGAAATCGGAGTGCTCCGGTTCGTGGAAATCGCATCATCTAAAACACCATTTTAAAATTCGATTCTTCTCCTTTCACCACGACAACAAGACAGCAAAAATGGCTCCCCATATCGAATCAACAGCTGCCCTTCAACGTTCTCACCACATACACAAACACACACACACAGATATAACACACACACGCATACACACAAACACATACATACACACACATACACACACATTTTAAGGACAACGGAATGGTCTGTGTCAGACGGGTTGCTGGATTTTTATGCTCTTCGAACATGCATCGCTTTTTGAAGTGTTTTTTAAGCATTTCTTGATTCACAGCGTTCCTTTTCTGCGCACTTACTGAGTTTATTTTCACTTGAATTTGAGTGCGACTGGTGGTTTCGTGACTGCAACAGATGTAGCAGATAACTCGTCTCCTCCCTTCTAAATTGTTTCCAATGATGAGCAGCCAGGAATATTGGGATTTGGCCTGCACTGGTGAATAATTCTGTTCCAGGTGCAGCCAACAGCATTCGGCATAAAAGCTGCAGCCGTATTACTCACTTGATCAACTGTTTATTGGTAACTCCATTGTCTGTCGTATTTGATCGTTTATTCTAGTTTCATTATTTTCTTTCAATATGAACATTTATTTATAAATTAATGGCGCACGAAAGAGGCACAAGAGGGTGGAGAGGGAAGGTGACTGCGATGGTTGTTTGCAAGATTATGAACGGAATAACGGTGCTTGGTTCGCGACACATTATCAGTGAACTGATCGATGATTTTCAGTCATTGGTTTTCATTCGAGATACACAATTCTTCATCTGCTTTTCTGAGCTAACCATATCATATCGGAAAGCTGAGAGAGAAGGGATTTGAGAGTGGGGGTTCAAGGAATTGGGACGTATTCTGCATTTACAGTAGCATCGTACGCCAGCAAATCTAATCCATTGACAACTGCTTTCTATTAATAAATCAGTTCTGGCTGAGGAAAACTACTGAAGAACACTACTCGCGTTTGAATTCATAGTCGATGCTTTTGAGCGAATTTGACAAAAGTCTACTTTTGACAGATTTTAATCTGTTATCAACAATCAATAATGAAATTTCTGTACTATGGGCATCATGGTGAAGTATGATACTTCGACCAGTTATTTTATCCTAACGTATCTTTGCACCGTAAGCGACGCCGGCAAACTTTTTCGAGTTCACTGCGACTAGGGTTGTAACAGGTTACCTTCAAGCCTAATAAGATTCTGGCATCTCCGTTTTTCTGCATCTTTCTTCAAAAAAAAGCTTTTATGCACTACCTGCACCTCACATGCGGGCACATGGAATTTGACACCGGCGGTTTTGTAAATCAGCAACCAGACCAACTGAGCTAGAATTTTTTGAGCACAATTCATGACTGAGTGCAGATAAGTGTACCTAAAATCAACACTTAAATGCCGTAAGTCACTCAGTTTCAAACACGCGGATTTGATGCAGATAAATTTGTAAGTGGCTTTGAAAAAAACGTACGCTCATGTCGATCCCCTGGCAGACGTTGGAATTTGTTGTTGCTGGATTTAGTTAGATGCATGTGTAACAACAACAACATGAATTGAATTTTTTGCTGACTACGAGAGATTACATATAAAAAAGGCGACAGGAAGGCACGCCTATTACGAGCAAGGGGAGGGCCTAAGCATGGACAAATCGGTCCAGAGCGCAATCTGAACGCAAAATGAGTAAGGGTGGGAAGTCACCGTACAGTGGCCTTTTTAAAACTTCAGATGGTCAGGTGGATGCTCAGGCTTTGTAATACAGCGTCCTGGAATCCGAAACATCTCACATTTTTGTACGTAAACACTTCAGAAAAGCCATGACTACGCTAAGACTTTCAGGTACATACGATCATTTTTGTAGCAAGGATGTGGGGGAGGGGAATGAACTAATAACATTGTAACACTTTTATTCCTCTTGTAGTATTTCCAGACGTGCCGATCCCTCGCTGCATCACTGGTAACAGTTCGTTCTTTTTGATTCTGTACGAAAATTTTTCTACAGATGCAAGTTGATTTCACGCTGCCAGCATTCAAACTCTACGATTTCGAGGGTCGTCGAAGCAGTGAGCTGGCCAGATTGATATTTAAAGTAGCAAATGTCCCATACGAAGACATTATTGCTGATCGCATGGAACACTGGGATGCCGTGAAAAACGGTTCTTTATAAATTTTCACACGTTTATGCCGATGTAAGCCATGTTGCGACGCACCAGATTAGCCGGCGCAGTCATACGATTTTGCACGATGATGCACTTTTGCATATTATGCAAAAGCAAAAACGCACGTTGCTACGCGTTTTTGCACATATGCAAATGCAAAAACGCGTATTGGCAAGAGGCTGTCTGTGTGTGTGTGTGTGTGTGTGTGTGTGTGTGTCTGTGCGTTCGCACTTTTTGTCACCCACTTTCAACTCGAG